ATATTGTTTAATAAGTTCACTTTTAATTATTAATGGCTACAGTGAGGTGAAACTGAATAACTCTGATATTAAATTCGTGGATACTGCCGGAAATTCGTGTAATAATCTTCAATAGAACTTTGTCTTGAAATAACCACTTTTATAGCGCAATAGGTAAGGTTGATGGCATGCTTCGTGCTTTATGGTCTATTCAGCATTTCACGCCATTGAAAACTCGATTGGTCTTGGCAAAAACATTTTTGCTACCGACCGTACTGTGTTCTGTAGTAATCTCAACGTCCTCCACAATAACAGCGCCAGATACGTATTATATAATACATCGTCAGCCGTCGTTGCGATAAAATTATTTATTTAATGTTGCTTCATAAATTCATTAGCTCTGAGGAGGCCAAATACCTTGTGAAACCAGTCGACTGAAACAAATGACTTTTCTCTTACGTAAAAAAAATATACTCAGTGCTCAACGTTTTCGACACCTAAAGATGCGGTTGATGCGTTCAGAGCGCATGTTTTGGAGATACCTCGATCAGAGTGGCAAAAGTGCTTCTAGACTTGTTTCGAACGCACGTATTACATATTTTCGCCACAATTTTCAATTACGATTTTTTACATTGTTATAGTGTGTCGTTTTGCGAGCGCATTAGGGGAGTGGTTAGCAGTGTATGCAACTATGCTGAAGGCCTGGGCTTGAAGTATCCTCCAGCCGTTTGAGGGAATATTTGAAATATTTTTTCCATTCCATTTGAATACAATATACAGAAAAACAATACTTAATTTCTGATATTTTTCTTTACATATAGAAATAAATATTTCCCTGCCTTTCAACCGTTATAAGAAAACCTACATATATTTAATTGCTTCCTCCATTTGACAATTTCTTCCAAATATTTTCTTATTCTCGCTTTTCCTCCAATTGGCCTGCGACATCGGTTTGTGTGTTTGCATGCGATTTCGCCGCAGGCTATGATCAAGTGGCGGAAAACTCATTCTGTGGGCAAATCCTTGCCATTCACAAGCTTCAAATCAATATTTGCACAAACTTGAGGAGATGTGCGTTGCTAAAAATAACAATGACACTCACAGCACACTTCACCTACATGCCACAGCGCACTCGCTGGTCTAACACCACTCGCCAAGCTTAGTTGCCAAAGCCTCGCTGCCATAAAATGACTCTTGTATGCTGATTGTGCCATCAACGCCACCCAAACTACCAGCAGCCGTGCTTGGTGCCTTAAAGTTCACGATTTCTTATTATTCTCCTTCACCGGCATTTGCCTGCAGCTGGGATATTTGCAACACCGAGACGCGGTCACTACTCACGCCTTCAAACAAATGGAGTAAGAAGGGCCGGGGAAAGATGGCAGGAAAGCAATGTTTGAAATGCAAAAATCAATTTCGGCTTCGTTAGCTCTCCATTCCTTGGTCGTTAGCAATCGATAGGGGTGTATTAAAGTGGCTTCATTTACTACCCAAACACACAAATCCATGCTCATCCTCATCGAGTTTCAACGGATGTCACGCAGAGACACCGAAATCTTCAAAATACCAATATAAACGTAAAACTTGTCATATTCACTTATAAATAACATTTTCAAAGTTATCAGCAACCGATGCTTCGCAGCCCGAGCCTTTTGATCTACATTTATACGCCTACATCTGCTCGTATATATAAACATTTTCGTTTTCAGTCATTTGTAATGAGTGAGCTCGGTGGTTGCTCTCTGCACTTGACAATGTTTCTGCTTTTCATTTACTCAAACCTAAAAGCAGCGGCATCTTTCACAGCGCGGACGACGGTTGGGAGTTAGGAGACATTTGCTGATGAAAGAATTTGTGTTTGAAATAAAAGGTTATTTGGATTTGCAAGCAAAATCTCCTGGCTCAACCGATGCTTCACCTCTTCATATTTGAACTTTTTCCAGACTGCTCCCTACCTCTCACCTCATCTCTTCGGTTTCAATTTGTGCAAAATGTGTGGTCATCAGATGGGAATATTTCTACTCATACACATATATACAATCACTCAATGCCGAAAGTAGCTCTCTACTAACACACATGATGTCGAAAGGAAAATATATGTATATAGTGAAAATGAACACTCAATACCAGAAGTATATAAAACCGGCAGACAATCTCCAATGATTTTTATGGATTTTCGGTAGGATAAAGTTTGGATTTCTGTCGCCCACCTGCAACATAATCATTCAGTTGTGAATACTTGTGTTTGTATGTACGAGTACATACATATGCGCATTCAATGAGCTGCAGCAAAGTTACTTACACTCGTATGTGCCATCTCCTCTGCGTGTCTGACTCACTTCCGCACAGTATCCGCCGCTGAGAGAGTTTTGGCTTTCTTGCAGGCGAGACGTCCGCGTCGTGTCGGGTTGGCTGGTCGGGTTGGCTGTCTTCAAAGCTGTCGTCTACTTGTCTGCATTTGCATTTTATGCACCAAATGTGCAAAATTTATCGCCGCTCATTTATATATTTTGGCGAGCTATGGCTTCGATAGTTACAATAGCAACTACAGCGGTGAGTAAGACAAGAGACTGTTACTTATATTGTTTGATCAGAAAACGAAAAATTAGAAAGATTATTAGGATAAAGAAATATGTTTTCAGCTTTTCCGAATACGGGAGGCGTAAAATGGAGTTTAAGTTCACTGGACCTTAAGCTCATCTCTGCTGTTTCGTTGTGAGTTCAACCTCCTGGTGAACGTGTTTTAGAAAGTTCGAACAGAGTTTTCAATGCGGACTTTGAACACTTTTGATCATAAGAAAGCTTTAAAAAAATTATAGATAATTTCGTTTTCAAAGGTCGGTTGCTGAATTCTAGATTTTCTTTTGAAATTTGAATATGAAAGACAGAAGTAGTCTGGACTTAAAACTACCTTGAGTAAAGGGCAGCCTGTTCGATCCCTAAAAAACTGCTTAAAGACCAAAACCACTGGTAAAGTCTGCGCCACAGAAAAAAACTTCATTAATTGATTAAAAGCGAATAAATTTATCATATTAAGCATTTTGGTGGTGACAACGTGGCTCGATACGATGCCTCGCCTGAATATATCAAGTATTCACGAGACAGTAAAACAAAACGCGAGGCAGGAGCGGGTCAAGGTAGCGAGTGCTTTCGACATTCTACAGAGAGCTTCAAATCTAACAGTAGTTTTATATGAGAGCTGCTGAAACAGAATATGAATACACTGGAATGTAAGGTCTATCTCAATCTGAGGAATCTTAGGCAGTCAGCTATCTATACACCCACTGCTACCAGACGCCGACTTCCGGCTATCATGTACTCTGAAGTCGTATACAGAAAACACGACAGTTTGTCTGCTCGTAAAATTTATGTTATGTTTCATAATGTCACACGGTACATGTTTGATCTTTCCAAGTATGAGCATATCTCGTCTTGGAAAGATCAGATATTAGGATGTACATACGTACGATGGCGGACTATCATAAAGCCAGAAATTGTATTTTTCTTTGCAAACTCATTATGATAACTGTTTAAATTTTTGTCATACTCAGCTCAATATATATTATTATTATTTTTGTTAATGTATCTGGAAAGTAATATTTACTTATTCTTCACACTATCTCTGTTGTTGTACTAAAAGATATGCGAATCTTATTGTACTAAAGCTTTGTTATTATTATTAAATAAATAAATAAACATAAACAAAAAAAAAGAAGAGACCAGTTGATAACTAAGGATATGTTCTAGTTAGGACCGCTTTTTTAGTAGGATTTTCTCAGCATCTTAGGATTCTGGAGCAATTTTAAAATATTTTTTTTTGGAGTTCTTAGGAGCATCGTAAATTTTCAAAAACGGTACGCTATATTAAGAAAAATTAAAAAACGATATGTTTGACGAAAACTCGATTTTTTAAAGGGTGATCCATTTCGAGGTTCCCTACCTTCTTAAAGAAAAATACACACAAAATTCGAATTCAATGCAGAGTGTTACGGTCTCCATTAACGGTTATGTTCCCACCAACATGGTTTTGATAAAATATGAACCACTGATTCCGCCTGTCAATGAACCAGAGCAAACCTTTTTTCTATTGATTGAAATGGCAGCTCTTGGATCTTTTCAGGCTGCTCTTCGTTCCATACCCATTGTGCCAGAAATGGGTCTCATCACTGAATAAAATTTAGCTTGAGAACGTTGGAACGTCTTGGAACTTTTCAAAAGCCCATAGATCGAAGCGATTCGGGCTCCTCTTCCAATTATGGTTTTGCGTCTTGATGTTTGTGCAACAAAAGGAGCGACCTACAGTTTATACTATTTCATGTCGTAAATACACTCGGGCGACCGCAATTAGAAAGTTTAGTTAAATTTTTTATTTAAGGGGCACACTTAGTTAGAAATTTCAAATCGATATCTCAAATAGTTTTTGGGTTAAATTCGACAATTTTCGACTTTTTTTATCGGAGGTCATTGTACAGACAATATTATCTAGTAGAGAATTTTTTTTTAGATTTCATCCATGGAGAAGGCCGGAATCACTGCAGCAGTGAAGGACCTTTTTTTCGCGCCGTTGGAGATCGACTATAACTTGAAAAATATTTAATTTTTTTCTTCAAAAATTTCACTGTACATTTTTGAAAGTATTTTTTTTTAATAAAAATTCCCAAAAATCACGTTTTTTAGGCCATTACACTAGGTGTGCTCCTTAAATTAAATTTCTATAATTTTAAGATTTTGGTCGGACAAGGACTCGAGCGCTGGCCTTCACTGTGGCAGTGCGTAATGCGAACAACTCGGCAATCGCTGCAGCCAAACAATACTTAACAAAAATAACATCGGTTTATTTAATGTTGGAAATACTTCTTTAAAAACCAAAAGAGAATTCTCTTTTTCTTTTGATTTGTACAAAAATAAATTTTTTTCGGTCAGTCGTTCTTCTGTTTTGCTTCTCGTAATTTTCAATTAGAAATTTTAACTACATTAATGTGCCTTCACCTGAATGAGTGTTGGGAAAATCTAAAACTCACCTGGCAATGAAATCAGTAATCCGTATCCCAGCAACAGTAACCATGTGATCGCAGTGGTTAGGCTGCTGCTTGCTGTTGCCTGCCGGCCACCCGCTCTTGGGGTAGCCAATCCTGCCACAACCGAATGCATTTGATTGCACCTCAAATTCAATTTACACTCAACACGACAAAAATTGTGATTAAATTCGAAATTTCACTCTCCGTTATTGATTTTTAGTAAAAAGTGATGCGATTGTTTTTAGTTCTGATATTTTGTGGCGTTTGAAAATAGCAAAATCGCCACTGTGGGGAATTTCATGAAAGTTGCGAATGCGCCGTGGCTTAACGAGTCTGTTTATTGAAATTATTTTTGTAGTTTTAATTTGTTTTTTTGTTATTTTCGAGGCGCTTTCACAGTTCGAGTTTGGCGATGAAGACCTTTTTTACATAGTTATGTCTTCGAGTCACTGCCATTTATGGTCAGGGATTTGTAAGCGAATGAAGTGGAGCTAGAAACATTTGTTGTTGGTGTGCCATGCTGTACAGAAAGCAATAGATATTTACATGCACTTAATAAATGTCGTTTAGAGGTCTCTAACCTTCAGCGCGGCAGCAAGCGTCGGCTGGTATTCAAAGAGTGTTGTCCGTTGCCAGCTGCTGACTTTTAGGTTTGTTTTCGATTCTTTTATTCGATTATATTTTGCAATAAAAGTGATGTCACAGCTCTTTTGCTGGCAGCACTTGAGGTGCTTAGACGCCAAAAACACAAACTTTTGTTGCTTTCTTCCAGAGTGCATGTGCTTGTGTGGGTAGACGTAGAGTGTTATTTTGAAGTTAAAAATTTCGAGTTGCCAAGAGAGTTTTTTTTTGTGAATTTTTTCAATTGCGACTACTATTCTGCTTGCATTTTTCCAACTTTTTTCCGTTGTTCGGTCGCTTGTACTGTTTGCCTTTGCTTGTTGGACGTGTGCATGCCTTGTTATTGCACTTGTTGTAGGGCTGTTTTTGGCTTTGATGGTGTTACTAATGTTGTTGCTGTTGTTGTATTTATTTATTATTGTTCAAGTATGTATTACAGTTGTTGCTGTTATTGCACTTAAATGTCGCACTGAGTGTTTTCGTCTGTATTTCTTCAATTGGTTGCCTTTCGCACGCTTCTTCCGCCTTCCTTAGTTCCGGTGCTGTTGGTTCCTTTGCTTTACTTTCAACCTTTTACACTTTATCTTCCGTCTTCGTCCCTCTTTTCACACACAAAACTGCCTGCCAGCTTATTTCCACACTTTTGAGCAACCCTTTCCTCGGTATTTACCACCTTCGTTTAACGGTGTTTGTGATTTTTCTGCGCTTTTGATTTTTTATGGCAATAAACTTTGTAGTGTTGCCGGCTTTTAGGCGCGTTGCATGGCTGTAACTGTTGCTCGTCGATTTCTCGCGCCCACTTCAGCTATCCACCGCTATGCTTTTCACTTGCCTGCTTCTCAACGCTTGCAACTCACAACTCACTTAACTTGTGTCGGCTGAAGAATGCATTTGTTTTCTGTGTGCTGGTTGTTGTTGTTGTTGCTGTTCTTGTTGCTCTTGTTGTTCGCTGAGCGTGTAAATGTAACTGTAGCGGTTTCGTTGGTGTGCGTGTGTGTATGTGTGCGTGAATACAACTTTCCACCGTCCGTTATTCATGAGCAGCGCAACTAAGCGACCCGCAACAACAAAACGCTTCGCTACACAAAGAGGGCTGCTCGGCACTTTGGCGCAGGACTCGTCGACGTCGTTCGCTGAGGAAATTACACATTTTGACTACGCAAAAAGTATTAAACGTACGAAAGTTCAAGCTGCGGTTTACATCAGTTCAAATTAGTTAAAAATGTAGATTTAATTTTTTTAATTTATTTTTGCAAATTTTAATTTTTTATATAATTTTTATTTTGAGTTTTTGTATTATTTTGTTAATTTTTTAATTTTTTTTCGTAATTATGACTTTTTTAAATCTTCGCTTAAATTGTACTAACAACTCTTCACTCACGCGATATAAAAACGTGTGTATGTGCGCTTATCTTATTAACGGTTATTTAGCCTTTAGAATATCAATGCGAATGGCGTTAATCAGGCATCTGTAGGGAAGTTAGAGAATTTGAAATTGATTAGATTTGGTAATAACTTAAATTGCTGCTTGTCTAAACGACTTACAAAATCTTAAATAATTATTTTTAAAAATAGGAATGTATAAAATATTGCTAAAAAGTCATAAATAGAAAATGCGACATGACACATGAACCAAATTTTTGGTGTTGGTGTAATGAACAGTTTGTTTTAAACTAATGTTTAATGTGGGAAGAAGAATAGTATCATTTTTGGAGGAGAAATCAAAAATCGTAGAGTTTTATGAATGACGGCTGTCGTAAAGACGCCGATGAAACCGGTACACATCGCAAAATTACTGTTAAATTTCCTTAAAAGAGGAAATCCATTGAGAGAATACAACTCCCGCGAATTCTGCGCCAAAATTGGATGAAAAGGTGATGAAAAAGCGTAAGATGAAAAGGTAAAGAAAAATCCATTTGTTAATGAGTTCTGATAAGGTACCAGATGGATATCGTTTCCACTGCCATGGCTTGAGCCCCTTTTGGATCACTAACACAGTCGGGTCGAAGGTTTGATGGTATTGGGCGGCGCATGTGAATTTGCAGTTTTCAAAGAAATCTAAATTGGCATTTTAATGAAGATAATACTTCGATTGTGCGGCTATGGTACTTCTCAGACCTAAAAATTGTGGAGTATATCTAGGTATGGTTGGTTAGGAAAGCGTACCACCACAAACAAATTGACCACTGGTGTAAAACTCGCTTCGTCAATAATTACATTAGACTAAATTACATAACGAAAACTGTACGATTCTCTCACGAATGGAGCGCGTGAAGTTCTTGTAAATAAGGGAGGGACAAAAAATTGCTAATGTGCCTACAAAATAGGGGCCACTACACTTCTGACGCAATTTAAATTCGAAATATTTTATGCTGTTTTTATTTTCATTTCAATAATAAACCGTAAAAAAATCCAATCGCATCCTGTCACATCTTTTTACAGTGCGATTCAAAATTAATGAAATTATGTTAAAAATTCTATTTGTCATCAAATGAGCTTGCTAAGGTAACCATATACTATACAAAAATTTCTGTTTAAACAATTTTAGTAGTAGTGAAGGCAAATTAAAAAGCCGTTGGTTCGTTCCCTGCCATAAGCAGTCTGATAAGGAGATGTGGTGATTTCCGATGCAGCTGCCACTTCTACTATTTTCCTTTGTTGTATAATAAAAATTTTCAATCCATATAAACAAAGCAGGTCTTTAGCTTTTTAGCAAAAGATTAACAGTTCGGCTTTTTTACATATATATTAAATATAATTTAAATTTTTAATTGGAAATAGTATTTCAAAATGGAGAATTTAAAAATCTTTCGCTCCATTAATTAAATGCGATGATCGATTTGTGATCAAAAGTATTTTTTCTGAAACTTTCACTTTTTTGTGACACTCAAATTTGGTATTCTGCTTTTTTAAATAATCAATCTATTTTAGCTGCATACTATGTTCAAGACTGTCGATCGGAGGTGAATCCTTCAATGATATGCTGTCCTTCACAAATTTTTTTCATTTAACTCGTTTAACTTGAGCTTCTTTAGCTTATATTTACCGATGTGTTAACTAAAAACTTCACAAATATTTTTCTGCATGCATTCTTTGTGACAAAAAGCCAACCGCAAGCAAGCCAAAAACACAAAATAGGAAATATTTAAATGCAAAATCAAATGCGTGTAAACAATGTCCCTAAATGCAATGCATTCCATATTTAATGTGAGTTTTACAGTGCGATTCACGTGTGCTGCTGCCTCTTGGTGTATGCAAAGTTGTGTAAACACTTAATTTCGTGTCACAGAAGCAAACGCATGGCTAATACCTTGCACACTTGGGACACACTTAATTGTTTCTATATATATATATATATATATATATATATTGTCTTTCATTTATTTTTAAATATTTTGTTAGAGAAGGTAAAATACAAAATGGAATAAAATTGTCTTTCCCTGCATTTACTTAAATTGTACTCATTGTATGTATGTATATTATATACTTGTATGTAGATATGCATCAATGTGTGGTTTAAGGATAAATAATAAGTACTTTCATGTGGGACATCTCTACTTCAGTTGGCTATGATTGCAGAACAAATGTTTAGATATGTGTATACATTTGTGGGACACACAAGTGCATGTTATTGGTTTCTTCTTGGGCAAGCCAAAACAATATCCACTACAATGGCAGGAAATACAGTTATTTTATTATTTTTGTTGCAGCTTTTTGTTTGTCGTTTAAGGTGTCGGTGTTGTAGTAGAGGATTTTAAAGCATAAAAAAAATACCAGAGTATTTTTGTGGATACAATTTTTAGACACTTTCAGTGTTGGATATATTTTTACGACTAGAAAATCTTTAAGTGCATTGCTACATTGCTATCTCAGTCATAGGTGCCTCTTGTTGGTGCTATTTAATTATATTTTTGTGTTTAATTAAGTTGATTTTTTTCTTGTAAAAATCTTAGTTTTGTTGGAACGAAAACCGCATAAGGCTTGGTGTCACTTTTTTACACCACTTTTCTTGTGAACAGTCGCAGGAGTTGGAAGCCGATCGGAGTAAATACCTGCGATCTACTTCGGCAATGATGCAAGCCTCCCGGTTTTAACAGCGAACAAAGCCCACAATCATAAAACTCTACTATTTCCGATTTTTCCTCTTCCCATATTGAAAACTAGTTTAAAGGAAACTTTTGGATATTTCAGCACAGAACAATTGGATGTTTTGCTTAGGAAACTATGGAGGATAATAACGATGCAAAGCACGAGAAGACTTTTCCGAGGACAAATTAAACTAAGTATGAATGAAAGTAAACGGATCCTCCTAAACGCATTGTTTTTCTTTCTAATGTGCGGTGGAAAAATAGAAAAGGGAAGTGTGCGTTTCATTTCATCGCTAAACATCCAGCTGACTGCTATCATTCGGAGCTACTTATGGTCTCCTCCTTTGGCAAAAGAAGTAACCGTGACCCATACTGGAACCCGACATTGTGACTGTAAATTAAGCATCTCAGTTGAATATTTTCTATGTATGTGGCATTCCCAACAAATTTGGTTACTGTATTGGAAATTTCTTAGACGGATATTCCCTTGGCTTAGCGTTCAAAGCTTTATTCCCGATTCTATAACTCAAAACCATTAGACTTCTTTGTCAGGGGTTATAACCACTTATAATCTTAAAAAATCAATCTTATTTTTGAATATTTTTTTAATGAAGGTGGAGCATAAGCCGGAGACTGTAAAGATGTTATTTTTAAAACGATATTTTCAAAGTCATATTTTCGCGATCTTCTAAGACTCTTTTTTCTGTCAATGCTCGAATGAGAGAAATACAAGCGAAAAATAAATTCGATATTTTTAATTTAAAGATTTGTAGAAAAAAAGTAATTTCTTTCTTTGGAAAATCGTCATTTTATCAAAAACCACACATTTAGCTATTTATCTACCATTACCTATATTAATCTGTTCTAAAAATAGTTTTTTTTTCAATTAATTTGGTTCAGAAATATCTTCTTTGCTGCCAAGCACCGTGCCGTGGAGGTCCTCTGGAGGTCCTTTGGAGTTCCACTACAGCAACAACGGATTTTAATGCATTTTTAAGTACACTAAGAATTCTTGGATATATCAGAATTAATATTTAATACTATGCAATACTACAAATTTGATACTATTTTGAAAGGTAAAAGGACCTTGGCATGGCCGAAAACTACTCTACTTTTTCTTTTAACATATAATTTATTTTGTTGTATTAATTTCAGCTGATTTCATCGTAGAAACACTTGAAGTTTACACGCGCGTGCACAAATTACTCAATCATTTAAGAGTTTTTCAAATATTCCCCCTCCACTTAGGCAACTTACGGTTCATCCCTTGCTCCTTTACCAATGAAATTTGGCTAATATTTATTTATTGTCTACGTAAGAATGCTCGTAAGCAAAGCTTCTTCTATGTACAGTTCGCTAACCCCACGCGCAGCTCAATCTGTTAATCTTGAGTAAAACAAGCGTTTTCCTTCGGCCGGAAGCAATTTATCATCTTTAGTTTGACACTCGAATATTCGGTGAATTTGTTGTAACATTTCTTGCATATTATATTATATATCACTATGTGTTTCTGTGTTCTTTGAGAAATTAATGGGGGCAGAAAGGGGGAATGATGATGATTTGAGACAGCTTCCTGGTCAACAACTTTTTGTTGTTTGTTTTGACAATAAAGATAAATAGTTTTGCCGATTCAGGACCTCCAAAGAATTTGCGGTAGCTCCTGGCGGCATAAGTGATTAAATAAATTAGGCTGAGTGTGGCTGTCAAGAAAATATTTTGATACTGCGTCGCTTCGAAATGTGAAGTGGTGCTTCTGTGAAGCGCAAGATAAGAAATTCTGCCACTTGAATGAGTCAGAGAGCAGTTAAAGAGAGCTGAGCAGGAGTCAGTGGAGGGAGTGGAGGAGAGAATTTAATTTTTGAAATATGAAAATAATAACTATTGATGTATAAATAAACAAGGATATGTATATGTAAGAAGAAGAAAGAGGAAAAAAAATTTAGAAATTAAAATTAATAAAAGTGAAAGAATTGGCCACTTATAAGCGCTTCAACAGCTTTCAGCAGAGCATCCCAGGCGGTCAGAAATATGCTCGGAGAGCTTAGGTTTCTCTAACTTGAAGCGAGCAAGGTCTCACTAAATTAAAAGAAAAACATAGGAAAATGTTGATTGTCAGAAGAAAACATGTTCGGTTTGCTCCTCTGCATTCATTATCTCCGCAAGACTATCGCAGCTTGCATGCAAGTGTGTGTGCGCGTTTGTGAGTGATGTGACAGTAAGCGCATTGCATTTTATTTACAATATTAAATGCTTGTCATTTGTTGACATTTTGCGAATTCAAATGAGCAAAAATACCGGCAGCAAGGATCAAAAGCTCTGCGGAGCTGCTGAGTTTTATGCGAGTTGCATGCAAATGAATACGAAAACAAAATCAAAGAGAG